ACTGTATTATATACAAGTACTTTATAATCTAGTTTCAGTTTTGATTTACTGTTTATAAGCCAGTTCACGCTAGCTGACTTTAGCTTCATTTGTGTAATCTTGGTTGATATGTGTTTGCGCCAAGTTAGTCTCCTATCCAAGTGTATTCCTAGATATGTCACCTCATTGGCTTGTGGAATATAGACATTGTTTAATTTGATTGGGGGGCATACTTACGGTCTGCGAGAAAATGTTGTATGTTTACACTTCTGTTCGTTGACTTTTATGCGACAGTTTGCCAGGCATTCTTCTATGCGTAGTAAATGTTCCTCTAGTACTCTTGAAGCTCTGTTGGGACATTTATTACGACTTACTAAGGCGGTATCATCAGCGAAGGTGGATGTGAGTATAACCTTGCTAGTTGGAATATCTGAAGTATAGATGATATACAGCATAGGCCCGAGTACACTACCTTGAGGAACGCCAGCCGTTATCGACATGTCTTCTGAAGTGAAATTAGAAACTTTTACAGCAAATTTTCTGTTAGATATGTATGATTGAAATATTTTGTGGAATTTCGGCGGTAACCATTTTTTATTTTTATATATAAGATTATTGTGCCACACTTTGTCGAATGCTTGTGCCACATCGAGAAAAATTGTAGGGCAGGACTCTCTGAGCTCAAGTGCTCTTCTGATTTCATTTGTAATTCGATTAACTTGCTCAATTGTACCATGTTTTTCTCGGAAGCCAAATTGGTGTGCTGGTATTAAATTGCGTTCATGGAGAAAGGGAGATATCTTTTATAGGAGTACGTTTTCGAATACTTTGGAAAGACATGACAGTAAGCTTATTGGTCTGTATGAGGACGGCTGTGTTGCGTCTTTTCCATGTTTGACTATCATGATTATCTTCGACCTTTTCCATGATTTCGGAAAGTAACCGAATTTGAGGATAGCGTTGAAAAGGTCAGAAAGAATTGCTAGTGCAACATTCGGTAGCTCTATTAGCATTTTCGGAGTTATAAAATCATCATCATCAGTAGACATGAATTGAGTCATACAATGGGTAAGATTCGATATCATTCCTTCTATGCCACAAGTAGGGGGGTTCGGCTGCATTTGCTCAGTATTATTAATATTTGCAAATGTTTCTTGATTGGAGTTTGATTTCGCCGTGCTTGGCTGCGTTTCTAGTTTTAATGCGTCGGCAAAAGAAACGTTGGGAACTCGCTGCGCATTGGCAAAAAAAGGCTCCTGGTGTAGTGGTTGATGGCGTGAGGTGTTGGTATGTATAAGAGCTAGTTGGAGTGGTGGAAGAGCGTACGGCTGTGTTGCGCTGATTCATGCGAGACTTTAAGTCTTTGTATACAGGGCACCCTCTATAATTGGCGGTGTGGTTACCTCCGCAATTACTGCATTTCTTTACAGCCGCATCAGCTTTGATAGCCTTGCAAGAAGCGGAAGCGTGATGGTCGCCAAAGGCAACACACACTGGACGCAAGGTACAGTATGTTCTCGTATGCCCAAATTCTTGACTATTTGTGCACTATACGGGACCGTTTCGCTTGTGCGGCTCCTCCACTGTTATTCTTCAGTGTAGAAGGTATCGTAGGTTTTAGATTGGGTGCACTGCGTTTTTATTCATTGGCTTTGTTTCTGGCTTAAGTTCTATCTTAAACATAGGTTGAGCGATTTTTGCTCTGTTGATAATATTGACAACATTTTTAATCTTGTATTATATCTTGTATTACTACTTGCAGTCCCTTGCTGCTTTTGAGCTGGTACGTATAGAAGTTTTTCTTATCGTCATTAAGATGTTTGGTTACCAACCGGTAATTTTCTTCAGTTAGAATCTGAAGTTTGGTCTCTTTAATGTTGCCCTTGGTAACTGACGTTACGTGGAACGTATTGTCTCCAATAAGCTGAGTTAATTTATTCACGGGCTCAGTGCAGTTTTGCTCTCGTAAATAAATTGGGGCGGTATGGGTTTGGCTTTAGAAACTTCATTCGGCTCTTTGTCACATTCATTGTCCAGAATCGCAAACTTATTTCCCAGTAGATGGTTAATGTCAATGGTTTTCGTTTTTGTAATTTTTGATGGATTTGCAATTTTTTGCTGCTGTGGGCTTGATTTTCGTTTGACTTGTATTTACCTATCAATACCCGTTTTAGTCAATGTAGGTCAACTTGCGCTGAGCTGAGTTGCTTGGCTTGGGCTGGTGCCGAAATTGCCGTTTGTGCAGGTGTGGGTGAACTGCGTTGTGAAACCGCTGTCATTGCTGAAGTCGTGGTTGTAGTCGTTGTTGTGAGAGCTGCGCTCACCGTTGTTACTGTGCTTGTTGCTAAGCTAGTGCTTTGTTGTTGCGTTAGAACAACTTGGTCTACCAGAGACATTGGCGACTGAGCATGCGAAGATGTAATGCACAAGGTTTGGGGGGGGAGGCAGAGAACGATTTAACGCGATCAGCATTGTTTGTGGGGGAAACGAACGAAAAATAAGCATTTCGTCGATCAGCTGAATGCTTTTGGTCAGCTTCTGTTACGGCAAGGTTTATTTCACTGCACTTGGTGCTTGTTTCACTATTCGGTAAGCGCGGTGGGGCCGGAGCTGCTTTTATTTTATTGTATGTTGGCACATTTATTTGAATTTCTCGCGGCATTGCGAAAATTCAGAAAAAGTAATTTATAATTATAGGCAAATAAGCAGAAAGCTTATTTATGCCTAGTATTGTCTTTTCGCGTTGGTTCTGTTTTTTTTTTTTTTTGCTTTACGTGAATTATTATTAATTTCTCCGCGGAGCGATTAAAAAACACGTCCGCACAGGTTGACAGTCAATGAACGATTCTTTTGTTAAAAGTATTTATTGTACCCATGTCTTATCTATGGCAAATAAACGGGTTTTTTTACAGTTTATTGTATAATAAAACGTTGTTTTTGACTTGGTAACTTCTAGGTAACTTTTTTTGTAAGTTCTGGTCAGAAAAAAATTTTTTTCGTGTGGCAACCGTGGTCGTAGTACCGGAATGACTCGGGTTTTACGCGACCAAGCGCTGTTGTTTCGGTGATCTAAACCCGTTTAGGTCGGTGAAATATCCCAGACGTTCGTCCATAGGGCTACATCTGCTGCGTATTCTTCTGTTGTTGTTGTAGCTACAAAAACCCCGCCCAGATCGATTAGCCCCTCAATCGTTCTAGTCCGCTCTACTAGCGCTAGCCCCAGGAAGCGTGCAGCCTCGATGGGGTCTGTCCACAACGACAGGGGCGTCAGTAGGGTCGGGTTCAGTGAGCAAGCGAAGAGATTCTGTGAGTCATCGGGCGTCTCACCGAATGCCGGACATTCGTTTAGCACATTTTCATTTAATCTGCACAGGTATGAGTTCAACCTGCTGCAGTAACCAGAGCGCAGTTGGGCTATTGTCTCCCGATGCAGACGAAGCTCTTTCTCGTCCACGTCTGGTGGTTGTATGCCCAGAACGGCATTCACAGGTCGAGAGTCTACATAACTCGAGACTGCCTCTCTCTGAATGTCGTTGAAGGCCTGTCGATAAGCTGTCGGGTCCAAAGGTTGTTTGATGGACCTATGGACTTCGTCCATCAGTTCGTAGAGACGCCTCCTGACGTGCCTGGGCGAGGTCACCCAAATAGACATCTGCTTGCAGAGCATTACGTTATGCTCCCTAACGGGGAGCATGTGGGCCTCGTCGCGCAGGTGATGTTGCGGCGACATCAGAAGGCATCCTGTCGCTGTGTTGGATGCCGTGTTTTGGCAGTTCTGCAGCTTCATCCACTGCGTCCTACTAGCCCCCGGCGACCACACAGGCGCTGTATAGTTCAGAACCAGCCGGGCAATTACCCCGTACGTTGCCAGCAACATTTATTTGTCTCTTCCACAGGTGCTGCCGACTAGCGATTTGAGGACCTTGTTGTGGCTTTGTACTTTGTTGACAATTGCGCTTGTATACGCCGAGAAGGAGGGCAGACTATCGAAGGTTACTCCGAGGATCTTCGGGTTGTCCACCGTCAGAATTGGTTCGTCATCGACGTGAATTCCCAGTTGTAGTCTGACCTCCTTGGTCCAGGGAGTAAAGTGCTGCTAAGGACTTTGTAGGGGAAAGGGTTAGGCTACGTGCAGTGAAGAAGCGAGTAAGCTCGGCGAGATAACCGTTTACTTTCGAGCACAAGTCATCAATTCCATTCTCAGACGCCATGATCGAGCAATCGTCAGCATAAGAGGCAATCGAGACTCCCTCTGGTGGTTGAGGAAGCTTTGAAATGTAAAAGTTAAACAGTAGTGGGGAAAGGACACCACCCTGTGGAACTCTCTGTTTTATTTTCCTAGGTTTGCTCGATTTGTCTCTAAAGGTTACTGAAGAGTGCCGACCACTCGGATAATGCGCCGACCACCGTTTGAGTCACTGTGGGAGAGAGGAGGCCTCTCTGTCTTCTAGTAGCGTTGACTGGTGACAGTGTCGAACGCCTTAGACAGGTCCACCGCTACTAGAATGGTTCTCTCACGGGAGCGGTTTCGTTTAATGGCACGGGTTATCTGGGTGTTTATGGCGTTAAGTCCTGCTGTTGTGCTTCGCACTTTACGGAAGCCATGCTGATGCCTCACTGGTGTCAGGTGGTTTGTATAGTGCGGGAGTAGAAGAGCCTCAAGTGTATTCGCTACCGGGGAAAGGAGAGTTATCAGGCGATAGGACTCTCCTTTGTTGGATCGTTTCCCCGGTTTAGGTAATAGGACCACTCTCCCCATTTTCCAGATGTCTGGAATGGTGAGAGGGGCCATTGACAGATTGAGGACCTTGGTTAGATAGTCCACTCCCGCAGTTCGCCTTCCCTATGGCTAGCCTTACCTCACCGCTGGTGAAAACAAGAGGATTGGACAGTGACCTCACGGTTGACCAAAGCTTACTCACACCAGAGCTGAAGTTGCAGGTCTTCAGATGCTCTTCCCACTTCTTCCGCTTATGTACCTTAACAAGTTGTCGAATCTCCGAGTTAAGATCCCTGATACGGGCGTTTCCGGGATCGGCCTGACGAAGGTTGCCATGCTTATCGGCTAGAACAGCCGCTTCAGCAGCGAAATCCGGACGGGGGTCTGAAATGCATCCTGCTGGAACGAAGCGGGCTGTAGCAGCAGTGAGAACCCTGCGTAATTTACGCTCACCTACGTGAACGTCGGTTGGTGTGGGTAGTGCAAGTCAAGTCAAGTCAAACCCTGGGCCAGAAACTTACACCTGCTGTGTATGCCAGAGACGGCTACACCACAACTACACCTCCGTCAAGTGCAATGCTTGCAACGGGTGGAGTTACCTTAGAGTCTGCTCAGGCTTACGGACACATCGACAGTGGACCACTTCATTTTTGGCCCCCTGCTGCTCAAACAGAGTTGCTTCCATGGCAAACCCCAGTCCGCCTGAGCAGCTCAACAACACCGCAGCACCACAACACAACACAATATAACAAACCCTGCCAGCATTTTCTATTGCGGAAG